GTGGGAAAAATCAGGTGTCCACAGCATTTGGGTCAGATAGCTGAGGAAGACTGAGTGATTCAGTCGAAAATTCCGGTGAGTCAAATTTTGAGTTGGAGAACCGTTTAACTTCTTCATAATGTAATTTACCAACTCAGATGAACTTTTATGCTGACACAGCACAGATCCTCAACTCAACACCTTTTAGAGTATACTAGTAACTGTAATGTGCATGGATCGACAACCTTTTTTCTGTACTGAGAACATTTAAGATTACATGCACCAGACAAAGTTTACCTGCACCATGTGGCATTTAGGAAGTATTGATCACACAGAAACCATCACCATTAGATTGTATTTTTTGTGTACTTCATATTTAAGTGCTAACAGTCAATGACAATCCACATGCACCAGCATGTATACATAAGCCCAGTATACAGATGAGTGCAGGTAGACATCAGAAATACCTGCACAGCTCCAATTTTACCTGCGCTAACCTGCATATACCCAGTACATGGACCAGTGCATGTTAGGTGCAGGTAGACATCAGAAATACCTGCACAGCTCCAATTTTACCTGCACTAACCTATATATGCAGGTGGTATTTCAACCCTGAGTATGCATCATGAGATTATTGACTTGCATTAAATAAAGGCTTTCAAGAACTGGATGCCAATAAAGGCTTCTTCGCTGTACCTGAATATCATCTGTGTGCCCTGTTAGGTTGTGGATGCACTTCCCTGATGACAAGGACCAGACTCTCACTGTCCTGTAGACATACAAACAACCTCAGTCATGGCAGTCCTAAACAAATACCGGGGGTACTAATCTATTTGAATTACGTATACACTTACATGTATGTTAAGAAGTACTTGTCAATATGGAAATTAAGTTGTCATCAATAACATTTACCAGCCATGATAAAAACTACAACCTCCAATTGATGCTTCAGCTTATTTCTTATGTTTTAGGCATTTTTATCAGGCTTCATTCTTTGTACTGGTATCTTTTTTTTGCCAGCCACCAGGGTGGCATATTGGATACTGCCTAGCCAATTTGATAACATTCATTTTTTCTCTATGGCAGCAAAATTTTGTGGTCTGAGGAAAATGGACATGTTCACGGAATTTAATTTCCACGGTGGCAGTAAGTGCAAGGAGGAGTGAAACACAAAATAATTTGATAACAGTAATGATAAGTTTGTGATAAAGAAGTGACCGTGAAAACCGTGAAAAGAAAAGTACCTTGAAAAATTCAGTAATTACAGTATTGCTACTATCTTGCAGCCACTGAAAGATCTGCTTGGAGATATCAATTGCTACATACCTGTCATTTGAAGCACTGACAAGGTTTGCCCCATCAAAGCAGAGGTGCTCGACCCCTGCTGTGTGACCTTGCATGACCTTCAGACACCGACCGCTGGACGCCTCGAACACCCTGATCACGCTGTCTGCACAGCTCGTCACCACGATGTTGTTCTGGGGAAGGTGAGGAAAGTTTGCTTCACGTTTTTGGGTCTGTTAGTCTAAGAATACGCTTTTGTCTGTCAATTCATGATGACAGACAGAACATAATAACTGTTGGCATTTGCAGTCTGTATAGCATATTTATCTTCTTAAACCATCAGATCTTGTAGGGAAATTCTATATACCGGTACAGCCACATATAGGCCTAGCCTGAGTGCAAAGATTGGCTGGTAGTGGATCTTGGGGTGCGGACAAAAGCTAAAAAGGCGGACACTCAGGCTAATATAGGCCAACTGTTGTTTTGTCAATTGCACATTTCCACTTGCAACTGCCATATAAATACCAATTACAGTGCTGACTTGTGACATCGTTTTTAGAATTCTGTTGACAAATTGGTAACAATAGTACATGGATGTGAGGGGTATGGGGGGTATGAGAAGTCAGACTTACCCTGAGTTGTATACCAGTGACAGAGTCTGTGTGTCCCTCCAGCTGGTTGATACACTTCCCAGTCGCCAGGTCCCACAACCGAACACAGTTGTCTCCCCCTCCACTCACTAGTAACTTGCCTGCAATGGAGGAAACATTGTGTCACATTCTCACTATGATGCAGTTACAAGCAATGAAGCGATTGACATAGATCTTACATCAGCAGTCAATGTAGGTTAGACATCCAGCTAGTGAGATACGAAAAGAAATTGTTGTTCAGGCAGCTGGATAGATATTGAAAACTCTCATGGATAGATTTTCAAGATCTATTCAGTTGCTTGAGTAACAATTTTCTTTTGCGAATATCTACCTATTGCTTATAAAAGTTAAGTCGCAACAAGTTGCAAGTACACGTTTTTACAATTTTGATACCTGTGCAAAAGTTGCACAGGTATATTCCTCAACCAATTTTTTAATTTCTTCTGTACTGACCCATCTACTAAAGGTAGACAGAACAGGAAAGCAATTATAACTAATACATGTATAAGGGTATACTGCTACTGTGCAAGGTGTAACTAGGAATTCAGTGTGATACAGCCTGCTGTTGCTGCACCGGAGCTGGTTTGTTACACTGAAGAGCAGTTATACTGGCCATACAGAAGATCTGTGATGTGATGTGTTGAAGGATGGTTATATCAGTTAATACCATGTCAAGCCGGTGTGTTACTCCGAAGGGCAGTTATACCGGCTATACAGATACCAGAGACAGACACTGACCATCACAGTCTATACAGTTGACCCTGCCGTCGTGGCCCCTGAGTGCAGGCATGACGGTGTACTTCCCCGTGGCCCAGTTCTTGTTGAGGTGGTGCGCCCGGATGTACACGTCCTTCCAGCGGCAGAGCGGGGACAGGGAGATGACGTCGCTGTGGATGAAAGAACTTTATTGCTCGACAGTTGTACGTCATGGTACAATGTATGGCAACCATGACAATGTGAACAATAGAGTCAAGTATGAACAATATACGGCATATGACATGATGTGCGCTAGGCGTTGCTATCTGTTACAATACTTTCTCTCTTTTGTAATAAGAGAGAAATATATATATATATATATATTGGCCTAAGTACGTAGATATGGAGTCAGGGCATGACATAAGTAGATTGAAAATATCTTTGGGAAGGGTTTACTAGCTTTACATGTGATCATGTTCGGTAATTTTTGTCTATCTAAAGTAGGCAGGACAGGTCATTATGAAATGATACTAATCTTTAACACTGTCTTGACAAGAGGGACATTGTCTCTGGTTAGTTTTGTTGTAGCCCCTGCAACTGATGTTTTCAGGGGGACAGACTGTAGTGTCACTCACATGTGGGTTCTGTAACAGTTATAGCCCCTGCAGCTGCATGTAGTGTTTGTGTTGGTGTTATTGTCCCTAGCTGCTTTGCCTCTATTTTTCCACTAGACATTGAGTCTTGGCGCCTTTCCCTACTTGATAGGCATATTACTATACCGACCTGTTGACGGGCGTGAAGCGCGGGGAGGTACGGGAGGTGGCCGTGGGGCTGCTGCACGACTCCTCACGCGACAGGTCCTCGTTAAACCCAAAATGTTCCCACCTCTTCAACTTGCACAGTCTCTGCCTGCATCAAGAAGAAATGTTGAGGTTGAATTACAGCAGAAAATATTGAAAATACTACTGTTTACCAACACTAGATTAAATGCAAGGAAGCTCTCTATTATAGAAAGCCTCCAGCCATTAAATCTATCCCTGCTACTAGAAACTCAAAGTGTTGAGTTATTCAATTGCTTAAACCGCGGCCGAAACTATAAAAGGGGCTCTCTCATTGGCTGAAGGCTCAGTGCGGGTTTTTTTAGAACTGGTCTTAGAACAGCGTTCAGTACGGCTCCTACATTATCGTGTCTAACTGGTTACTGCATGACTTATTTCGCTCAGATTTTGTCAGGGAGGCGTCTGAAGTGTTAGTGATCACATAAACATCAAGAGATTTCAATGTCATGGAAATATATTTGAAAAACATGCCAATATACACAGTTCATACTGTTTCAACCGCTAGGAGCTAGCGGAATCCCGCGGTTTAAAAGATTCCATAACTATCTGGGGTATAGAACACCAGAGACAAAAGGACAGTGGTATTTCATTTTTCATATGTATTCTATCTGGTATTTTTAGGTCATCAACCTACAACACAAAAGTTCACAAATGCTTTAACATCACACACAGCGACCATTCCATGGCCATGTAACGACCACTGCAGTCGATAGAATGGAAATACCCAAAACAGTTAAAAAGAGTTAGAATGATCTTCAATGTTGACAATAATCAAGAGTGAAGATTCCAAATACTTCACGCTTCACATATTCGTTGCCATTTTCAGCAATACCGGTACAAAAAAACCCACACCAAACACGGACACAGTATTACAAGTAACAGAACATTGAGACCTATGAAACAGTTAGAAAGGGTTACCATAATCCCTCGTTGTTGGTTTTTTCCCTCCAGAGTCTGCTGACGCAGGCGGCACGGGACATCTCTACTCCGTCCAGGTAGGAGAAGATCCTCTCTGTCAGCTCCCGCGGCAGGTGGGCCACAAAATCCACTGCCAGCAGGGTCTTCAGCTCAGCATATACAAACCTCAGCTGCAGGGGCTACATGTACAACAAAACTCACTTCAGCTCCACATACACAAACCTCAGCTGCAGGGGCTACATGTATGTAACAAAACTCACTTCAGCTCCACATACATGCACAAACCTCAGCTGCAGGGGCTACATGTACAACAAAACTCACTTCAGCTCAGCATACACAAACCTCAGCTGCAGGGGCTACATGTACAACAAAACTCACTTCAGCTCAGCATACACAAACCTCAGCTGCAGGGGCTACATGTACAACAAAACTCACTTCAGCTCAGCGTACACAAACCTCAGCTGCAGGGGCTACATGTACAACAAAACTCACTTCAGCTCCACATACACAAACCTCAGCCGCAGGGGCTACATGTACAACAAAACTCACTTCAGCTCAGCGTACACAAACCTCAGCTGCAGGGGCTACATGAATGTAACAAAACTCACTTCAGCTGCAGGGGCTACAACAAAACTTGCAACTCTAAATCTAAATTCCTGCTTCCTGTTTTGAGTTACTTGTAGTTGTTTCAAGCCTTGAAACCTACATTTGGGTACTTGGTTATACTGAGCCAGAACTAATAACATATTACTAGTATATGCTCTCCCGGGATCCCCACTTCTGCTGATATAAAGCAAGATAATGTTATAACTTATAGAGATCTAGACTATGTACAGTTTTACAAAGAAGAAGTAACATTCATGTTCAGAGTTCATACTTCTCGAACACGCCTTAAATTTATGTGTGATGCAAAATACACAAGAAGCTGTGAAATATAAAATGTAGATCATGATTTGACCTACGGGTATATGTCTGGTACAACAATTTCAAATTCTATCAGATCTGTGCAGTGACATAATTATTTCTCTCCCAACATACATAGTAGACTACTGGGGTCTATTGCACATTACTAATCACGTACACAGCACATGGACACAAACTTGATGTTCTAGACTTCCGAAGAAAGATGCTCGCCCCTCACCTGGCACTTCAGAAGTATTTGCCGCAGCACGACGTTCTGTTCCTCCGGCGTGAAAGCCTCGAAGGCCGCGACGACGTTGTTCGCCAGGGCCTCTCGGTCCGCAAACATGCTCATCGTGGAATATACGGTTGTGATTTCTTGACCCAAAATAGTCTCCGAAATCGGAAGAGTTTTCTCATAGTTGTGTCACTGCTACTGTCGTGAACATTGTGGTGCATCCTGTTGTAAGCGGTTGTTTCCAGATCTGAATGCTAGGACTACTGCAGCAGTCTCAGGTACATGCAAGTCACAGCTGGGAGCCCCTCCCACCTTCAACTCGACTGCCTTTACATCCAAAATTATGTGAATATAGCACACAGAAACAACAGATTAGGACTCCCTATATTCACGCGACTCCAGAGTAAACTCCAGTGAGGTTATAAGTCTTCTGATCGATGCTGAAGCCGCGAAAAGCCAAGAAGACAACTGTTCCCATAAAGATTTCAGCCAAATTCCGCCATCTTGGAGATTAGAATCAACCACTGAAGATTTTATGGGGGCGAAAATTTATGACCTAACATTATACGAAGTTAAGAAACAAATAAAACAAAACAAATTAAACATTTTATATTGGAATAATATTCAGCTTGAGTTTTTATTAGTCGTTATTACAGTACGGGTGTATTTGGCACACTGTGATTTTGATATAATTCACAGTGGGCTAGTCCAACTTCCTGTACGTGCAATATTACAGGTCAACACTAGGGGGCGCCCCTGGTGAAAACAGTTTGCAGATGATAATGGCGAGAAGATAACGAAAATAAGGTACGTAGTGTACGTATCAGCTTATATGACAGCCTTTTGTCTCAGGTGTCAAGACAATGGAGTTCGGCGATAAATCCACATGACAAAATCAGCTGTTCCCATATTCCATATTTATCAGAACAAACAAATGCAAGAAATCACAACTTTCCCATCTGTCCCTTCCAATAAATTTCCTTCTGGAGACAGGATGCAGGGATTGATGCAGAAGAGGAATGTGCAGGGTACAGAGATGTCCTTTACATACCATAGCATCCTTCACCAGTCCATGTTTATGTGTGTTAATGTTGTTATTCATGTTTGTGTGTGTTACTGTAGGTACCACAGATGGAGTGGTGGAGATGGGGAGCTGTGCTGGCAGCAGTCGTCTCTCTAAGTCTGTGGAGGGACCTGATCCTTGCCTCCCTTGGACTCTCGTCTGTCGGTAAGTCACAAATACAAGACATATGACATATGAGATATGACACATTCATTTCTTTATCTTTTGTTTTGGGTAAATGTTAGGTGTACATGTGTTTCTTTTACTGTTTACATGTATGTTTTTGCCTTGCATAATTTGTCCTTTTTTGAACCCTGTAAGATTTAAGCCATTATGCTAAAAAGTATCAGAATTAAGAGCGTAAAGAGCTAATAATAAGTAGGTAATGATATAAATGTTTTTGTATATCTTCATAAATCCTTACACCAAGTTTCATTTTCTCACCAGATGAGGCCAAGCCAGAGTATGACATTGTTATTGGCATCCTCTCAGCCAGGGAGAATTTTGAACAGCGTCGGGCTCTACGAGCAACATGGGTGGGCTACATACAACAGCATCCAGACTACAGCAGGAGGTATCAAACATAAAATTAAAAAAAACTACTTACACTGCTTTAACCTTTACCCTGCTGTCTAACCAGGCGTTATACGTTTGGTGCCTGGTGGCTACCTTCAATAGTAGCAGTGGTCGAAATACTTTTTTTCAGTGCTCTGCAATATTGCAGAAGAGTCAAAATTTTGTTCTGCAATTTGGAAATACTTTCTGCAAATACACAAGCCTCTATACTACAATCTTGCAAGTTTATAACTATAAAGCATGAACTATTGATTGATATGCAAATTAGTGAAGACAAATTGTTGGAAGTCCAAAAGGAAACAAAAGTTGATGTAAATTAGTGAAGAAGCTCCTGTTGTTTCAGAACAGTGCCAATTTTTCCTGCTGCAAAATTGCAGATTGTATAAATTTTTCTTCTGCAATCTTGAAAATCTATCTGCAGATTGCAGACTGCAGACAGGTATTTCGAACACTGAGTAGGCTAAAAGTTAAACATCATCCTTTTAGATTATATTGCCTACAGCTTTTGCAGTTAATGTGGTCTTTCAAATAAATGATTCATTGTATTTCTCTGAATATGTCTTTGAAAATTGCAGCATGCATTGAAGATATTTTGATCATTTACCATTAGGATCAAACATGCATGCATTTTGAAGGCTGGTTTTGTAGTTTTGTTTTTCTTATAGTAAGTTATACTGAAGATCAATATGTACTTCATGAATTATCCCTCTGTAGCAATGTAGTCTCCTTGATGAGTTTTGAAGCTGTGCTGACTGACTTTATATCTGTTGTTTCTGCAGGATTCTGGTGAATTTTATTGTAGGGAGCGAACCCTGCCCAGTCCCACCTCCTGACAGACTGGACCCCTTCACCTGCCAGAAACTGGTCTTGTCAGAATCAAGTCAGTTTTACTGCTGTACTACAGTATATGTAATAAACATTCAAATGATATGGCTAAGAAGAGCTCTGACATATGGATAGCAAAAAATAAAATCAATATTTGATCATACTTTTAACAATTGAAATATTACCACCCTTCTAGTGGAGTAAGTTAGCAATTTGTGCTCTTGCTTGACAACAGTTTGTAGGGTTTTATCATTTAGGGCAGAAAGATTAAATGGCTTTCCTGTATCAATAGTAAGAATATTACATGTACATATACTAGTAATAGCTCAGACAAAATATAACAACTGTAATACTCGTTGCATTTGGAGTCCCTTTATTTTTACTGAAACTTGTCCCTCACTCAGTATGTGCAGGAGAGGTGGTGGCCCTCGGCCTGGCCTCCCAGAACTCTCTCCCCAGCAGCCAGCGGCAGACAGGGCCGGTGGAGACCCACTTCTCCGTCCAACACCCTGTGGTCATCACAAAACTGGGTGTGCTGGGAGGGGATATAACCGGTGAGGGTGTCAGAGTCAGGCTGGTCGACTCGGCTGCCAAGGTGAGAAAGGCACTACGTTCTTAGTCTGGTAAGGTCTTCTTTGGAACTTCTTTAAAACTCAATACAAACCTCAGCATCTATGTGCAAGCATGTCTAACCCTTGCAAGAGGGGACTAAAAGACATGAAGATAGTGTCAGAGGTCAACTTATATTCATAGTCCAGTGTTCTCTCCTTTGGCACTTCTTGAATATTCAATAAGCATTTCTTTAAGCATCCGTATGCATCCATGAGAATCAACATACAATAAACCAGATAGTAAGAGTGTGTCTCAGTGAAGTTGTGGACTAAAATGTCTAAAATCTTATTTCCTTCCTCCAGGAGGACTTACTAAGTGTTAATTTCACATCAGATGACCCAGGACTTCACACAGGGGGCAACATGTTTAAAGCTGTGCAAAATTATGTTTTGCCAAAGGTGGGAGACCTTTCTACTGTTCAATTCTTCTTTATCTTACTCAAGATGATTTAATCAAGATGGTTCTTGTTTGCTTGTCAGATTTTGCTCTGCAAATGTCTCTGTAGATGTTTGTTTTGTTGGTACTACTCTTTAACTGTTGTGCTTCTGCCATGACAGGGTTTCCAGGGGACCATAACTGTTGAGAGCCTGGCACCAGATGATGTATTATTGGAAACATTTCCTTTGGATCAGTTACAGCTTAACAACAAAGGAGGAGTACTTCAACTCACAAAGGTAATGAATTAGACTATGTTAAATACTGTAACAATTCACCAATTTCACACTTCCCATAATGAACTAGAGGTCGGAGATCTCATGTCTTCGTCAGAGGTACATCGTTCTAGAGAAATTAACATGCGTATTCTTCACTCTTTTTAATAATCAATTTGGTCTAAAGAACAAAAGAATCTCTGTACTATTTTTATGGTACAGAACACCCTGAAACGGTTTGCCGCAGATTATACAGATGCGTCGTCACCCGTGTTAGCCACCCCCCCTACGTTACTTGAGTTTGGACTGTTACTGGAAAAAAAAACGTTCAAGAAATTCTTACTGTGTTGAAAGTGTCACGACAGCACCGCAAAATATAATAAGAGAAGATGTTATTAAGGAAAGAATCAGCACAGGGTGACTACTGCTGTTTTGTTAATTTGTCTTTATGACAAATAGAAGACTTGTTTCTTGTGTTCTTTGTGTCCTAACATTTGTACTTCTACAGTTAGTATATTCCAAATCTAGGCATCTCGTTTTTCGGCCCTTCGTGTTTTATTGCGCGCTTGCCTTAAATTTAAGGTAATTACATTTAAGGTCTCCAGTGGACGTCATCCATAGCAATTACTTGGTGTGGCCGTAGAAAATAACCTGACATATGTCCAACCTATCCTCCCCCTGCTGAAGTTATAGTACAATCCCTCAATGTAACGTCATTTGATCCCATCCCATTATGGGGTTACCCGGCTATATCCAGCTGTCGGCTGTCTCCAAGCAGATGTAGGTGGGGGATTTCTAAACACAAAAGGTCCTATTACGGGGACATAACTACCTCCACGACTCTCATCTTTGGACTCAATCTTGGAGACCACGACAGTAACATGCCTATCAAATTTCATTAACTTCCATCCACACATACAAAAGTTATCCTGCTCACAAGAAAAATTAACAAAATGCCCCCTGTAGTCACAACGAAACCCCCCACGAAGCTCAGTAACGAACTTAACCTTAGTCTCGACAATAGTAAGCACCACACCAAGAATTATAATCAACATTTTACAAATACTTGAGTTATCTTGCTAACAAGCCACAAACACAAAAGGTGCACTAACGTGACGCACGGACCCCCCACGAAGCCGAAACTTGTACTTGACTTCGGCCTCAACAGTGGTAATCTGTCTGCCAAAAATCATGGACGTCAAATCATGCCTTCCAGAGTTATATTGCAAAATCCGCAGTTCCCCACACTCCGGCGAGACAATTTCATAGTCCTTCTGACGAAGACAATGAATGAAAGACCTTTATTGTACGCTTGTGCTCTAACGAGCTAAGTACAGGTCATGGGTAAACAGGGAAAAGAAAACAGTAATGACACTTGTAAAGATCGCGGATATGGATGGGATATGTCGTAAGAAGGGATATACGTAATGCGACCGTGCGAGTAGGAGAGTCTTCGGTAGAAGGTAGAACGATAGAAGATATATCATTTTCTCTAATTCCAACAAAAAATGCATTATTATGGTATGCGCTTTATACTAGATAAATAATTTAAAGTGATAGTTCACCAGTTTGTCGAAAGAACTTGTTGGAAATATTACATCGAGGAAGGGGGTGGGGGTGGTCTTACGTCACGTCCGTGATCTTTACTAGGCATTATGGGAAGTGTGAAATTGGTGAATAGTGTTATAGGTGTACTATGTGTACAAGATGATACAGATGTGTACAGGGACAGGTAAAATCATCATCATCATCATCATGTCGGGAGTTGTAGTTCCCGGTCCCAAACCCTCTCTCGCCAGTCCACTTTGTCCGTCATGGCGCTCGCCAGGAACTCCTTTGGAAGACCCACATCAGCAGCCAGCAGGTCTATGTACGTCATACGAGGACGCCCAGGTTTAGAATGCCCTTGTTTGGGCTCCCACAGGATCAGTTCACTAGCTAGCTCAGCCTTATTTCTGTAGACATGTCCTGCGAAACCTGTTCTCCGCTGTCTGATAAGCTCAGACACAGCTGGAATGTCTCCGTAGAGCTCCTCCTTAGTAGGATGTTGCTGCCATGTCTTGTTCAATACTGCACGTAGCATCCGTGTGTAAGTTCCATCTAGCCTTTTTTCCAGCTTCTTTGTCAAAGTCCATGTTGGTGACCCATACAGCAGTACTGACTCTACCACCGCTCTAAAGAAGTTTCTTTTCGTGTTGTCAGGTAGAGAAGATTTCCATATTTCCCTCAGTTCTTGTAGCGCACTCCATGCTTTTGCTATACGGATTAGCACATCTTTTTCTGTGGATGAGATATCGCTTCCCAGGTAGCTAAACTGTTTTACTTCTTTTAATCGGGTTCCATTCAGGGTGCTGATCATGCCACTCTGGTTGAAGCAAATGAATTCAGTTTTCTTGGCATTTACATAGAGGCCAATCCCAGAGGCTGCCTCTTCTAGTGCATGCAGCAGTCTCTCTGCACCAGAGATCCAGTCAGCCAGTAGTGCAAGATCGTCCGCGTAGTCCGCGTCCGTGATCTTTTTGGCGGGGTGTCTTCTACTTCTTGCTGTTTGTAGGGTGAAGCCATAGACAGCATGGAGGTCTACAGAAGTGCGCAAAACATAGTCTAGGGCTATAATGAACAGAAAAGGAGCCAGGGTGTCTCCTTGTAACACTCCTGCTTGTATGGTAAAGAAATCTGTATCACCATCCGGCGAGCGCACCATCGATCTGGTCAGCTTGTACATCATCATGACAGCGTTAATCGTTTCATCTGGAATACCGTACGCTCCCAGTATCTCTGCCATTTTTCCCCTATGTAAAGAATCGAAAGCTTTTGAGAAGTCTACGAACAGCAGAACTGCTTCAAGATTCTTTGCTTTCACCCCTTCTATAATTCTCCTCACTGTCAAGATCTGCCCTAGTGTTGACCTATGTTGCCTGAAACCATTTTGATTGGCACGCAGCACTTTTTCCATTACAGGTTGTATACGATTTCGAAGCATGGTGTTGTATATTTTTGCTGCGGTAGGCATGAGTGTGATGCCCCTATAGTTGGACGCAAGTGACAGGTCCCCTTTCTTTGGGAAAGGTAGAATACATCCTTCTGTCCATCCTTTGATCAAACTTTGCTTGTACATGCCGTTGCAACACATTAGTAGGATATAGAAGGATATTAGGGACAGGTAAAAACTACTGGCTAAAGTATACTTTCTTGTCTCAGAAAACCTATGCAGTGGATAGGAGTCTCAAGCAATGGTACCTGCATGTATGACTGCTGAAAATATGGCAAATATAATGATGCTTACAGATAGAAATAACAGCTGACATGTTGAATGGTTTCAGACCGTTGGCTTCATGCCTGAGTCAGGGTATCTTCCTCACCACACCAACATCCAGCAGCATACAGCAGCTACGTTCATGTACAGAGTCTATGGTAAGATTCACAACTTTATTACACAGTCATTTATAATGTTTTATTACTGTGATGCATGTGCTATTGCTCTTCTTCTTCACCAAATGCAAGTTGATTTATACTGGAACTGTTAGCAGTTAAGACTTGGTCAGATGCAATAGTGTGAGGAGTGTGGCAAGTTATTCAGCAAGTAGTCAAACCTCACATATAGCGAACATAGTACGGGTAGTAGTATAAGTTGATTGAACAGTAGTTATTCCTTCACTTTTCTGTCTTTGACACTGTTGTTGTTCGGGTATAGAATTTTCTTCTTACACAACCAGTAAGGTTCTCACCTGCTTACGTTTCGATGTCTATCAGACACCTTCCTCAGAGCTTCTATACCCTAAGTATCTTCCAACCTGATGAAATTATTTACGGAGACTGTTGTTGTTCGTCCATCGTTCTCGACGTTGACCGAGACGTCACATCAGGTTCTGTGTGTCCGGCTGTGGCTCACCAGTCCTATACGGGCTTTGAAGGCCCTGACAAAGCCGGGCACAGGCGGGTTACAACTCTGAATGCACCTTTGTTTAGAACCTCTGCAGTCCTGGTTTGCTCATAGACACTACTGTAGATTCAAATAGCCTTCTAGAATAATTCTTCAAATAAAACTGTCTAATCAGTCATGTATTCTACATATAGAGCCTGAGTTCCTGGAGCAGGCCTCTCAGGAGCTCCGTGCCAAAGACTGGTCAGGAAAGCTTGGTGCAGAGCAGAAACGTCTGGAGAGGGAGGTGGAACAGTATGGGGACATCCTCCTGGTGCAGGGGGTGGAGGTCTACAGAAACTTACCAAGGAAAATACTGGAGTTTTACAAATGGTAGGAATACAGTAAGGTTACTGGCACAATGAAGGTTACTGGCACAACGCCATAAAAAGAAATTTTTCATAAATTGCTCAAAGGCAGAGTGTGGTAGCCTAGTGGGATATTTTTATTGGGAATGCAAAAACTTAAGTAGATATTACATGTATACAGGGGTTTTTCTAAACAGGGGAATAAGGGAGCTGCTCCCTCATGTAACCAGCCTGCTCCCTCATGCCAATTTTCAAATTGAACCCTAAAGTGGCTACTTACACACCATGTAGTCTTTCTCAAAATGATCTTTTTCCAGTTAAGATGTAAAACAATACAACAATGCATTCTAGCACTACAAACTGTGTTACTCTTATTAAAAAATGCCCCCTCGGTCACTTCGTTCCCTGCCATGCTTGTGATCTGCTCCCTCATGCTAAGTTTTTATATACTGTGTACAAAACAAACATTCATTATCCACCAGTCTATGATTTTATTCACATTGACACTCCATGTAAAACAAGGTTTCCATTTCCATAATGATTCTGAGTGGCTCGGATTGTCTTTCCTGTTATAGGGTCACAGAAAATGTGAGGTTCAACTTTACCTTGAAAACTGATGATGACTGTTTTATTGATATGGACAAAATAGCAACGGTGAGTAAGATTACTTATGATTTTTATTTTGTCGTGCATTTCTACCTGATTGCAAGGCTCCAATGTTGTGTGCTTCATATTTCTAACAATGTTCTCGTTTGTATGATTACATACAGGAGATTGAGAATCTCAAGCTTCGTGAAAAAAGCAAAGTATGGTGGAGTAGGTAAGTTTGTCTCTACTTTGATGTATAATGATGATAATGTCTCTGCTTCAACATATCGATATGGCTGAATTCACCTTAATTCCACAAATATTGTGTCCCCAACAAATGTTCTGACTAGCTCTCATATTTGTCAACATTTTGAAAATGCTAATCTCCAATCATTGGTTGAACGATGCCTCAAGAAAAAGATATCATTATGCCTGTATTGTTCACTGTTTAAACTAACTACTAGTATGTAATTTTGCACCGTACATGTATGTCCCCAGGTTTCGTAGTGGCTGGGCTGTGGAGCACCATGGCAAGTGGGGGGAGCAGGACTACACCAGCCCTGTCTACCCTGCCTTCGCCTGTGGAGCAGGCAACATCCTGTCAGCTGACCTGGTCTCCTGGTTAGCCAAGAACACACACCAGCTCAGACCGTATCAGGTGAAATATAAAATATACCAGCTCGTAGGTTTAAGAAGGGTAGACATCCAGGTAAACAATATTCAAAGATAATTCAAAGTTCTTCTGCCAAATAGATTACAGAGATTACTTCAGGATGACATCCATCACTCTTCCTCAGTGTCACTAAAGAGCATGACTAGTGTCAACTCTTGTGTAGATTGTCTTCTGTGTGTCTGTGTATTTTTACATTCTGTCATTACATACCACAGAGGTGATTAGAAGAATGTATGTTCAGAAGTTTCTTATTTAACTGGAATTTCCTTTCTCTAGGGAGAAGATGTCTCCTTGGGAATCTGGCTGGCTGCACTTGGACCAAATCTTATATCTGTATGTATATCAGTAATCTGTATCATTTATGTGTGCTAATTTTTGTCTTTTCTTGTATTTTATTATTTATTGCATGAATGCAGCATAATTGATGATTGCTTTAATGCACAAGAAAAAAAGTTAATCAAGTAATTGGGTAGATTTTGAAAACTGTCAGTAGCCTCCACTACCTGAAACAACAGTTTTCAAAATCTATCCAGTTGCTTGAGTAACTTTTTTCTTTCGTATTTCATTACCTGAATGTCTAAGTTTCCTCGACATATTACTTCCATTGTCGAGAACCCTAAAAACAGAATGCCATGTCCTTTTGTACCCCAGGACCATTCCTGGCAGTGTGAGGAAGGTTGTACAGCAGGGATGTACTCTTCCCCTGAGCTGCAGCCCACACAGCTGATGACCCTGTGGAGTAACCTGCAGAAGTGTGGGAGTGCCTGCCAGTGTTCATGATGTACCACTTTGTCCATCCAGCGGGCAAAAGAAAGGCTTGGCATGTAACGTTACATATGAAAAATCAGACGTTCAGTGGAGAAAAGTCCATTCCTAGCTGTATGAGGTCAAGGTTGTACTACCAGTAATCGGATCTTCCAGTGTCTGCAAAAGACAGTATCCATTAGCTGTATGCAGGCAAACTGGACCTTCTATGACTGGCCAACTCCCCCAGCCAGCTACATTCTTTTTAGTCCAGTTTCTATTATAATATTCACCCCGCAATGGAGTCTGGTAGAGACTAGGAAATGTTCGTCCATGAAGTACACCAATCCATCCATCCATCCATGCAAGGAAAACATCACAGTGTGCAATGTATATAGTGTTATGTATTGTAACTCCAGAATGGAGAAATAAACAATTTCTAAAAGTCATCTAGTTCATTATGTTTTATCATGCATGATGTCTATCATCTATCAATGATCTATGTCTATGAAAACTGCAAAGAAATCATGCCACCTTATCCTTGAAAATAATAAAGGGCAATATTTGAAATCAGGAAGGTGAAACAGGTAAATTATGTGGATATACCCAAGAACCTCCTCCTTCATGGATACACCTATAAGCCAGAATGTTCACCTCTGATGGAAAAGGTACTCTCCAAGCAGAGGTTTGGGTTTTGGGGGTATTTTTAGCGTGTTTTTAGGCTTTTTTATCGGGGTTTCTCTTTTGCATTGAATTTTTTTCTCCACCAGTTTGGTGGAAAAAAAAATTAAGTGTAAAAGAGAAACCCCGATAAAAAAGCCTAAAAACACGCTGAAAATACCCCCAAACCCAAACCTCTGCTTGGAGAGTAGGAAAAGGGGCGTAAAGTTTGCTGAAACTTTTGGTTGGACAGAAGGAACCATCCTGAAGTAAGGGGCAAAAGCTTGTTATTTTGTTTCATTTTATCACAGTACCTAAGGTAAACCGGATAGACATGTTATAAAATTGATACTGTTTATATATCCATATTCATCCCGTAAAGAATTTGTTTTTTAACTGGAAAAAATGTGCTCATTTACGGAAAGCAAACTAATGAAATAACTTTACGCCCCTTTTTTCCGAAGATGTAATGGTCCAAAGTAATTAGTTCCAGACGTTCGTGTCTGGTACGGGGCCGCGCAGTGAAATTCTGAGAAGACGGGAAGGACTGCATCGCGAATCACCCAAACATCGATCTACACCATCATATACCGGTTCTTCTGCACCCCAGCAAGATGAGGGAGATAATTGTGTTGTTCCTTGTCCTTGGTAAGTAGTTTTTTAGGGTTTAAATAGACGAAAAAGCCGCAAGATCTTGGTCATCTGTGGGGACCGCTACCTGAACTTTGGCCGGGTCTTCTGTCGAGAATTTTCTGTGGTTTTCTTCGGGATTTCTGTATAAATTTTGTTTAAGTTTGAATTTTCACACCTGTGCTCTTTGTATAGGACACAAAGAGATATATTTGTTGTATCTGCAACGGTCTGGAATGAGATAATTGTTGGGGTGGTTTCGAGCACGGGGTCGCAAGCTTATGTAAAGAGAAGAGTCAACAGAGGGGTGCAATCAAGTGTACTTAGCGCCATTTACACCAGAATAATCCGTTTTCACAGTTTCACGGCTTTGGCCACTGATGTATGATCCGCGGAAGATCTCATTAGAGAACAATGATGAAGACCTAAAATGATTATCTGGGATTTAGCGATCATTTCCACATGCTAGACTTCGTTTCAAGTTGGCATCTGTATCCCCAAGGAGGGGCGGACCGCTATGTATACATGCGGCAGCTATCGTGCGTTGGTAGGGACGAACCGTTATGCACATGAAGGGATGTGTATTGGTGATTGTTAAATTTTCTTGGAATAGACTTGAGATGGAAGCAGTTTATTTTCTCAGTTGTGGAAAGTACTAAATATGAAGCAATATAAGAATTGTAAAGTTTTAACTTTTACTGATGTAATAATGACATTGCAAAAAGTGTCCATAACATCCTGGTTGCAAAAGAATGTAGCCTCTACCAGGCTTGGGTAGGCGACTAGAAAGAGTAGAAATCGGCCAAATAGAGAAATAAGCATGCCAAGGGAGTTTGTCTGTTGAGAGAACAGTGCGGCAAACTGTTGCTTGCTTATTTCTCTATTTGGCCGATTTCTACTCTTTCCAGTCGCCTCCCCAAGCCTGGTAGAGGCTAAAAGAATGCACTGATGCAGACTTGTGGGGCGACGGCGTTAATTTTTTACAGGGAGCGATGCGACTTATACCTAATCTCTTGCCTGCCATCGAAGGATGTTTTTGCCAGGGACAGGGAGAGAGTTTTTCACCGCCTAACAACTCTCTTCTGGGAAACTCCCTCAGCCGCAAAACTGTCCCTCCACTGTATAAGTTGCATCGCTAAAAAAAAAACCTTCCTTTATATGACAGCTGGAAGCAGCGATGCCCTGGTGAAGCGTTGGAACAAGTACTCCGACTACAACAATGCAGGCAACTGGGGAGGGCTGAACAGGACACCATGTCCTACTGACTCCATCAACTTAGGAGCTGTGCAGGTACGAGTGAATCATCAGTATGTGTACTAGAAACAAGTGTATATATTTGTTTGTTTGATAAAAATTATGTATATAAGTGTCCTGAAGTTTACACATTGTGTTTGTCATCTGACATATCAGACTTGCTGACATGTCTCTGATCCATCCTCTTTTTTTTTTCCACAGCCTGTATCAGTATACATCCAGTCCAACCTGACCATCACAGAGTTGGTGAGTCTAAACTAGAAGAATAAACAAGATTAAGTCTGAGGTTTTCCACTTTTATCTAGGGCTCACCTTCAATAGATTAAAAGATGATGATGTTTAGGTTTCTCTTGTTATCAATCAGTATATCAATACATGAACATGCATTTAAATGTTATGTCAGCACACGTTGTCAAATATAAGTATAAGGCATATTAAATTAAACCTTTGATACAGTACTTAAAAAGCTTTTGAATATTTGTATGCGGCATACGCTTAAGATGTAACTGTATTGTTACATCATGATTGAAATGTTGTTTTGACACCATCCATGTTCCATTGTTGTGTATTCACCAATTGACTGCCACTTTCCTAAAGGCCCTCCCCATGACTGGTGAGGTTATCCTGGGCCCTAATGTCATCCTGGACTTCCCCTCCAGCCCTGCCAACTCAGACCCGTCTTGTCAAGGCGTCGCTCCAGGTCAGGATCAAATCCAGTGGTCGAAATACTTTTTTTCAGTGCTCTGCAATATTGCAGAAGACTCAAAATTTTGTTCTGCAATTTGGAAATACTGTCTGCAAATACACAAGACTCTATACTACAATGTTGCAAGTTTATAAGCATGAACTATTGATTGATATGCAAATTAGTGAAGACAAATTTTTGGAAGTCCAAAAGGAAACAAAAGATAAACAAGTCAAGACAAGGTTGATGTAAATTAGTGAAGAAGCTCCTGTTGTTTCAGAACAGGAGCTTAAGTGTTGTCTGTCCTTGGGGCCAAGAGCACCAAATCCCAAGTGCCAATTTTTTCCTGCTGCAAAATTGCAGATTGTATAAATTTTTCTTCTGCAATGTTGAAAATCTATCTGCAGATTGCAGACTGCAGACAGGTATTTCGAACACTGAAATCTTATACCGCAAATCACTTCTTACATAAGTAGCACCCCAGTTAGGTTTGCAAGGTGCAGTTGGTTTTGAAGGCTCGTATCTGTGAAATATCCCTATTCATTTGTCAATGAACGTTAGACATGACTAATGAGATGCACAGGGGAATTGTTACTCAAGCAACTGATGAAATTTCAAAATCCATCCAGTTGCTCAGAGTAACAATCCCTCTGTGTATCCTATGTATTACAGCTCATCTAATACTTGTACATTCTGCACAACATCTCCAAACAATGTCTAGAGCTAGAAGTCCAAGGGTTAGGTGTAACAAGTCGATCGGTGTAATATAGCCAGCTGCCGCAGCGCCGCGTGTCTGCGAAGCTGGTGTGTTACGCCGAAAGGCTGTTATACCGGCTATACAGATACAGATACAGATACATGTAGCCAGCTCAAAAGTTCAACCCTCTAAGTTCAATTGGCTGTCCAGAAAATTACAACCAGACAGACAATATGTTTCTGTGATACAGTAGTAAACTGGAAGGAGTAGGAGCTCTATATGACTCTGAAAAGTTCTGTAAGATAACCTTACCACTATACATCAATGAAGGTTAGACATCCAGGTAATGAGATACACAAGAAATTGTCACTCAAGCACCTGAATAGATAACCTTACCAACACTGTTCCACAGGTCAGCTTGCAGAGTTCCAGGTCCAGACCCAGGAGTGGTTCAACCTTAACAACTGGGAGGTGTACGGTTCCCTGGCCGACGCACAGCAGGGAGACGTGTCCAAGCAGGTCTCTCTTTATTCTGATCCCCTTTAGCCAAAAGGCTAATCTTCCAGGGTTCATTGAGGTAGTGGTAGACGAATTTGCCCACTTCTGTAATATGTGGGTTTTTAGATTTTAGTAGTAAAATTGTTTTCTCTTGGTGGGGGATAGTGGGAAAGTAAGGATGCACTTTAGGCATGATGGTGAATAATTGGTTTTTGATGTCATCATACAATAAGGTCGGAGCGCTGGACATAGAGAGGATCCCCTGCAGCAGTGGCGGAGACACCACGGGGAGCTACATCAGGGATGAAGTCCTGTTTCCCCAGGACCGCACCTTCAGGGTCAACATGGGCACTCAGCCGCTCAGCCTGCAGAAACTCAACTTGGCTGGCAAGGTACAGTCCAAGCTGCACTGTTTCTCGGAAGCTGTTTGTTTTGATGTTGTGAATGTGATTGGTACAAATTTACATCTGATCTTGGTCTGTGTGAAGAGACTGTATTATTTTTGGCATGTTTTTTTAGGCTTTTTCATCGGGGTTTCTCTTTTGCACTGGAATTTTTTTTCACCCAACCCAACATGCCAAAAATAACCACAAACCCTAACCTCTGCTTGGAGAGTAAAGAGACTGAGCAGTAACATACTGTCTTACTACTAAATTCAATGAATGGTTATAGGAATGAACTACGTACTGTATTGAGTGTATTATTCCACATTTATATCAATGACAGAAGAAACACAAATTCAGTCCTATAGTGGCTTCTACTTGTCATAAGTCCTTCGACTAAAAGAACATGCAGCAGATGTTACTGATACACCACATTGAAGCTGCCTGCTTTTACCATGTACAATGTAATACTGTCCAGTGTGATGCATTTTCTATCTTTCTTAATTTTATGTGCTGTTTTATTGTATAGGCGTACACGTCCACAAACCCATTCAGTGACTTCTTGAACACAGTCAGCGGAAGGTCCCAGTTCAACCCTGCAGCAGACAGGCCTACCGTGAACATCGGGGGCTCCTGCACGGATGTCACGGGATGTGCCTGTGGGAATGACGCAGTATGTAACTGTTACCTGATGCTCTATCTCATCCAAGTGCTCTGTGCTCATGTCAAACTTTCATTTCTGTTAAGGTTTTTTGTTTTCTTCTTCTCTAGCTTAGCTTGTTAAGCTAGAGAATGTGAAGGTAAAGAATATGCATTTGCTTGGGACTTAACCTTTCTATAATATATTTCTTTTAGTCAACATTTTACATCAAGCAGTTTTAAACTTCGAACCCATGTATGTCTAGCTAATTCTGAGTGGCTGATCAAGAGAATGCTTGTTAAGAGAATACTTACTACTGTACCTTCCCTTCCAGATGAAGACTGTGATCTGTGCTGCAGTACAATGTCAGGATCGAGGTCTGCAATGTGACAGTCCCCCCACACCACAGGGACACTGCTGTGGCATATGTGGTAAGTGCTGCTGACAACAAATTAACAGGTGCAGCCAAACCTGCCCAAGATGGCCACTCTTCTTGGGCAGGTCAGTTAATGCTTGTGGCTATGCCAGAAATATTCATGTCCAAGAAAAGGTGGTTATGGCTAGCTAGCTGGATGAAAAAGTGTGTGCCTGGGCATGTTTGACCATACCAAAGCCAGGGATGACAGGTGTATGTTTCAGCAAATGTCCATGGTAGTAGTGAAGGTTTCTTTGCATGCCTTTCCACTGTAGTGCAATTTGTAATAGTTTAAGAGTCAAAAGTATCTATTGTCTTACATTGTCCAGCTAAGCTGATGATAAATTTTAAGGCCCACTGGCCCAGTAACACTGTTAATACAGCCCTCTTTTTTTTCTAGGGGCTGTCCTGACCATTGGGTATGGGGACAACTTCAACTTCCAAAACTTGCAGAGCTACATCCAAACACAGTATCTTCAACAGGTAAGAACTGGAGAAATACTATTTGCAATTTCTTTTCGAAGAAACAGAAAAAGATGAAAGAAACAAGAGAAGCTTAATCTTTGTGTAGAACAAACTAGGCAAAGGGACAGAAAGATGTAGTGTAATATAAAAAAAAATAAAAGAAAGCTCCTAATAAGAGAGCAAAGATTTCTTGATATGTAATTATGCCCTGAAAGTAGTTTTGTTTGTTTCCAAGTTAAAATAAAGTCACTCACTCACTCAAGGCTGCATGCTTCATCAGGGAGTGTATTGCCTCTGCAGATGGATCTCCAGGTTGAAAAAAAAAGAAAGATATGAAGTTGGCTTTTTTGTTGTAGGCATGTTTGAAAGACACTGAAGAAATCTGCCGCATTTTCAGGACAAATACCGAGGGGTGCGGACGATCCTGTCCAAGTCTGCGGTGTCTCGTGCGGGGGAGGTACAGCTTGTGCTGCAGGATGATGCACCAGGCACGCAGAACGGCCAGACTGCTGCCGCCATGGCTCAGGAGGTCAAGGACACACTACCAGCAGGTGCAGAACACACTGTGTGCTTTATATCCTTGAAATATTTCATCAGAAAAAGATACCAGTACAAAAAAGAAAGCCTGATAAAAAAGCCTAAAAACATGCTAAAAATAGGCCAAAGCCCAAACCACTGCTTAGAGAGTAGCAAGAGACTGGATAAGAAGATTCTTGTACAGTCTCTCAACAACCAGTGGGTTTTCCAGCGAAAAGGAAAAGGTGACAGACAAGTCACGGGAACTGCTGCCAATAATCCTACGTTGTAGGGCTAGGCAGAAATGAAGAAGAAACATCGGATGTGAAAACACATTACATGTAGTTGTTCTTTTATACTGTGAGCTTTGTGGTTTTAAATTACACATTAAGATTTCCGCTATGATTTCTAACTGGACTGCTAAACAATATGGCACCAACATCTGGAAGGTTCTGTCTAACCTTGAAAATTTCTCTGTCCTCTGTCCTAGCTGGACTGGGGATTACTGCAGTTGAGGTAGAGGCTTCTGCTAAAGGAACATCACCAGCCGGACAGACAGGTATAACTATAATTGCACATAATATCACTCTAGCAACATGTACATGTAGTATCAACCAAAAATTATCAGTAATTGATGGTAAACTAATAGAAAATCATAACACACTTGTTATGAATCTCAGTAGATGGATGAAGTGAAAGTGTTCAGGAACAATTTTCTGTGCTACATATGGACATACTATTTTATTTATCATATTTACAAGACATGTTAATCACTGCTGTTACTCCCTGAATAGTATTGGTTCAACATTGGTTTGCCTTAGCCTGTGTTTACACAAGCTCTCCACTGGGAGATGATGACTCCCACACCAAGATTTTGAGGGGCTTGCAATGTTTGGGGCGGGCGACCACCAGGAGCGTGATTTAGTCAGGCTTAGGTTAGCCTGTGCTCTCCCATCCATAACAATTGCTAAGCTAATTTGATGAAGCATAACTTCCATTCCTCCCTCTGCCAACAGGTGGCCGTATGGGTGGAGGACAGATAGCAGGCATAGTGATCGGGATCATCATTTTCCTCGTACTTATTGTCCTGATAGCCTTCTTCATCAGCCGCAGGAGGTACTGGTCATTATTTTGGCTTGTATTATTATACAAATGTGAAATATATTATGGTGATATGGAAATGAAGATTCATAGTATGTATATTAACCTCAGCAATGTCCTGTTAAGCATTATGGTTTACACATTCAACACAAAGGCACACAGTATTTTGGTAATATACAGTAATGAAGACACATAGTACACATTTTTTCACCTTCGCCGAAGTCCTGTTAAGCATAAGTTACAGTGTTGCCTGCCAAAATTTTCATTAGAATCTAACTAACCAACAGTATAAGTTTGAAACAATAGTCTGAACGATTGGTAGCTCTAAGATTGGACTGTGGACAGAAGTGGAGTGCATTATATTGTCACTGCTGTTACCCACTGTTAGCAATCAAATTTCCTTGTACAGACATTGAGGTATGTATATATATATATGTATTTGAACGACATTTGAAATGTTTATGACTGTTTGGATGATAAGTGCACCCGTTTCCCTTCCACAGCACCCCACTGGAACTGAGTTTGCCCAAGATGCCGAAAATGCCCAAGATGCCGTTCAACGGGAAGAAGAGCCTGACCAACGAGTTTGAGATGGGCGGGGCAACCTTCTCCAACCCGAACTTCGACCCCAACAGCCCCGACCACTTCAGCCTGAGCTACAGCGGGGTGGAGGACCTGGGCAGCAGCAAGGGATTCAACAACCCCATGTACGACAACCCTGTAGAGGTCAGTGTTTCACAAGACTGGGACTTCCTTTGTGATGTGTTCTACTGCTCATCATTTAGAATCATCATTCAATAGAAGGATCTTAGGTCTTTTAGTAGGACAGACATGATTTACAACTGAATTTTTAATCGGGTTGGACCCTAATCTCAGTACTATTGATTGTTTATTGTGTCAAATTGAATTCTTACCGCCAACTGTACATATCCTTAGCGCTCGTACCAGACTAACTTTTAAAACTTCAAAGACTTTCAGTCATTTTAATGTAGAACGACAGTAGTGATTTTATACTCGTGAGAAATTATATTGTTTTAATAATATTGCTATAATAATATGATGACAATGGTTTTATAAATTTAGTATATTACAAGTGTAAGTTACCCTTTTATATCTACTAGTATTGTATAATCCTATAAGTTGTAAATATGAGCACAATTCAGTTTTTACTGCAAGCCTGATATGTTCATTGCTCTTTTCAATAAACCAATCACTACACTACATGTAATCATGGCCATAAAGAAATGTAGTTTTGCTGGCTGTCCAAGAGAAACCAAAATTGGAAACAAGATTTAATTTGTTATAAGTTATACTACTCATTATTTACTCTGATATCACAAAAGGATAGAAGGATCTTAGGACGCACATGGTAATTTAGAAACTTAAGCCATAAAGAAATGTAGTTTTACTGGCTGTCCAATAGGAACCAAAATTGGAAACAATATATGCTCTCTTCATATCATAAGGTACTCATATCATAAGGTGAGCTTACTTAATACTTAATGGGAAACATAATTTTGTTTCTCATGTATAGAGCATTTCTATTATGTGAAATGGTTCTCCTTCCTCAGTGCATTTCATGTACTAGTTTCTGCAATGCTTTTCTTTTACTTTGTACTACGTTTGAATGCCTGCTGTTGCTACAGGACAACCCCATGTACAGTGACACCAGCCTGTCCGGCACCATGGACCCTGCCTCGGTCACCACCACCCCACCCACCACTCCCGACGGGGACCCCAGGGACAGTGGGGGCATCGAGAACCCCATCTACGGGGTGGACAACCTGCAGGAGGTGGTCATGGACGCAGAGTGCTAAAACAGCAAAGTCTGGAACCTAGCCAGGGCTCAAAATAATCTCCAAGCAGATCATACCGTAGCCTTTGGCAGTGTCCATTTGCCAGAGGAGTGTCCATTAGCCACCGAAGCCAATGGATACTGTCTGGCTAATGGTTACTGCCTGGCCAGTTTGATACTGTCTTTGCGGCCACCGAAAGATCTGCTTGGAGATTAGCTCGAAATACCTTTTTTTCTGCATACCTGCACTGGAGCAAGTAACATTACAAATAACCTGCACCACTCAGAGTCAGAATTTAGGAAGTATTCATCATACTTGAAACTGTTACTTATGCCTTTCGTACTTCATAGCTGGTACCAATCAACGAAAAAAAATCCACATACATGTACAAACCCAGTACTGGTGCTGGTAGGCGTCAGAAATACCTGCACAGCCCCAATTTTAGCTGCACTGATCAGCATATGCAGGTGGTATTTCAAGCCCTGCTAGCAGTTGTCACCTTATGTCAATCCTGTCTTTGAATCCATATAATGTTTGTAGTACACTTTGTGAAAGTGTGAAGCTGCACTGTCATGTATGCACCCACATCTCAGCTTTATTAAAGGGTCTGCAATTTATCAAGTCATATGTACATCTTAAGCAGATATATGTACCTACTTGCCTGAAGGCCACAGAAAATAAGTCTAAGTACATCTTATATTAGTCTTGTCAATGTGTGTCTGATATTCTTCATGCTGCACTCGTACTCAACAACTCTGTACCACAGTATAGCAGCGATATACAACTTTTATTGATCTTATTGCTATTACACTTTACCACATCTGTTCTTCTGATTTCAAGTTATTAAGAATAAATGCACAATTCTACACGATTACATTGAGTAGTTTGTCATGACTTTAAAAAAGGCACTCTTTTAAATACAGGTTATGCAAACCAACATCAACTCAGTTATGATGTTCTGCGACATGACAGTTGGGCGTATCCTCAGTCTCGGATTTGGCTGGAAGCAAAGAAAATAAATTGTTTAGCATGGTTCGAAACTTTCAAGTTAATTAGATTAGTGTAAATTAAGTTACAAGCCTACACAATGCCACTAGAACATTACCACCATTATGTTGAAGATATACTAGTAGATAATGTAAGAGAAATGTTTGTAGTAAATTTATGCCATTTCAAAAAAATCTTTTCACCTGTCTTCCATTTGCCTGGTTGCTGGATAGTACACCTTGAAGACTGCATCATTACATGCAAAGGAACCCTGAAATAAAAAAAGCCATTATATCAAACATAGTTGCTACACGTACATAGTATAATGTGTATCACAGGGATCTTATTGTTCACTTTGTGTACCTATAATATTGCAATACAGCCAACCATTTCAATTATACCAGACTATAAAAATATCAGTTTTACTTGCAACAGAGTGGTTGCTTTTGGCATGGGTAAGCCAGATACTTCCAAATTATGCATGTAAACCCCTATTTCATTGCCATATGCTAATGTTTAATCGTATACGAAACTCACAGGATTTGCGAAGGTACAGTCCATGTGTGTGCTGCTGTAGTCATCAAATTTGTTGCATGTACATCCCCATTCATACCATACAATGCCAGGATAAAAATGTAATGATGTTAAATCGTATATGAAACTCACAGGATTTGCGAAGGTACAGTCCACGTGTGTGCTGCTGTAGGCGTCAAACTTGTCTGCTACCACCACGACGTCTGGTAGAGGGTAGACCCTGAGGGCGTGGTCATGTCCCCAGTACACTGGCTCTACATGCAGCGGGAGAGGGCACAGGTGGCCCTGGGATGCTAGGGTCTTCACAAACTGGAATATAAAACGGAGACTAATTTAATCCTTACAAATTAAGAAAAAAACAGACATGTCAACAGAAATCTGTACCCTTCCATATTGCAACTACAGTACCATGGAAAGCTGCCAGGGGGGCCAAAATGTAATCACTTCCAGTCTTTGTCAAAACACACCAAATATTGATGATCCATTCACAACTTCTCGATTTATGCTGTTCATAAACACACACCTGAAAATGTAACTAGACACAAGAAACTGGTGAAAAACAAGGATAACCAGGATGTCATGTACAATGGGATACCGTTAGAACAGATTTTATAAATAAACTCAGTCAATATGGTTCCCGATCACTAGGAATGAATGGCAGTTGGAAAATCAAACTATGTTTGTCAACTGTTTAACTTTAAGCTGGAAGCCAGGCTTACATGTGTGGAGATATCCCTGTCGGTGGGAAACTTGACACAGTTTCGGCACATCTTGGTGACCATGTCCTCACGGAACACCACAATCTCCTGGGTGCAGTACTGGATCCTTGGAAAAGAATATTGCAGTTTAATCAACAGCAATGCATAGAGCCAGCATTTAGTTTGATAGAAGAAACATTTATTTGGTAGCAGTTAACCACTAGATGTCATATGAAATGATGCAAGGCTTTCACAAGGTAAGGCTTTGAGTGACTTCTAGGCTACATCTCTAGTAGACAATATTCAATGTATCTGTTTAGGCAGGGCTGAATCTTAGCCAGAACAGGATTAATTCACCTTAAAACACTTGTCAGGAGGAACACAAACTAGGGACATATGAGGTCCTAACAGTAGCACACTCCTGACATTGCTGTCACATTGTCGTAGGTTGTCATACCTGCATGGGTTTGTGGTGAACGTGGCAGTGGGCACTTTCCTCCTGAGCTCTTCAGTCACACAGTCGGGGATGGCCGGTCTGGGCAGCACGTTCCCTGGGCCGGGGTCCTGGCTTCCTGGTACAAAGATGAACCTGGAACTGGACAGGAAAAGTATGAAATTTAGCAGAACTCAAAGGCTAACAGATAGGTGTATTACACAATCTCTCTCTCCATGCCCGTAGCCAGGGGGGGTTCGGAAGAAGGTCCACTTTTTGGTCCACTTTTTATGTTAAAGTCCACTTTTTGGTCCACATTTTATGTAAAGGTCCACTTTTTGGTCCACATTTTATGTAAAGGTCCAAGGTTTTCCTGAAAAGATGGACTGGAATCGTAGAAAAACTGCTCCCTCTGTCATTGAATAAAAATTTATCTCTGATTTTTTTCTTGGAAGTCCTTCCAAAAACGCACGAAATGCCATTTTAGAAGGTTCAATTATCAAAATTTTCCGGACCCCCCTAGGAACCTCGCGCCTACGGCGCTCGAGGTCCCCTCAAGCTGTGGGAAGAACCCCCCCATTCAAAATCCTGGCTACGGGCATGCTCTCTGTCAGGGGCTGATTAGGCCTCCTCCCTCTAGGGGCCTGACCTGTGGGAGGGCTGCTAGAAGCGTGGTTTGGCCAGGTTGGGTATATAGTCATTTTTGCTAGCAGCTTCAGCTGTTGTGACAGAAGACTAAGGCTGGTTAGCTTTAAGCAAAATGTGCATGGTTATATAAGGCTATGAAAGGTTTGAGTGCACAAAACCAAACAAAGTAAAGGCTTACCTCTCTACCAGACTTGGAAACTGTGCAATAAGGTTTCCTAGTCCCCGAAAAGACTCTGCAACAAATGGAAAGAAAACAGGACTTGTGCTGACTGTACTTAAATGTTGTTAAAATTTTAATCTATCTCCGGACATGGCATAATTTTTGAAAAAATCTATCTTGTTAATTTTAAGTTTAATTTGTGTTGGTCTTAAGTACAATACAGATCTTGATATCAAATTTTGGTTACAAGCAGGACAATCGTACATACCTCTTAGGGTTTTAATATGGGAACTTCCAAAAGGACTTGATGTGAAGTTTCCACACAGCACAAAAGCTGTTGGGCAGATCTCGCTGTAGCCTGTGAATAACACTCTCAGCTTCTCCATCACCTACAGAAATGGCGCCAGAGACATGACTATGCCAGATGTATATCAGGCTGAATGTTGATGAATCAAACAGCCCACAGGATAGAGGCAAATGGCAGGCTGCCATCAAGCCTCAGCATAAGTGTATGTGTACTAGTAATCCTCAGAAGACGGGGAACAACTGACGTTAAACTGGATAGTGAGTGAAAGAGCGATTTAAGACAGTGCTGCATACGGGTTGTTATAACGGGAAAAGATAGTCTCAACTAAAAACAATAATACTAGTAGCAGAACACCGGATCGGACAACACTGCAACCTTTGGCAATTAGTAAAGAAAAGGTAAAGGAAGCCCCATTGCCGTTTGAGGCAGTAGTGGCAGTGGGTTGTTAATCCACTGTGTGTCTAAGGCACAGTATTGGAAGCTTCAAAGGTGGAGCCCATCCCTCTTCTTCCATGTATACATTTGTAGAGACTGCAGTAAAACAAAATTTTTATTTTATACCTTTGAATCATCAAGCCAGACGTCTGACAGGAAGACAATCATGGCATCTTCATTCTCTCTCTCCAACACCCTCAGCTTGGTAGACGCCTTAGCACATGTCGCAGAAGGACCGCCAAAGAAATTGATGTTTCCAAAGTAGGCCCTGTAGATAACAGTGACTGTGAGCTATGAGATCCCAACAGGAACTGACACTGTTCCATATGTTAATTTGAGATTTTCATGTTTTAGGATGACTTGTGTTTCCAATGTACTGCATGGAGTATGGCATAAAACTCAGATTACTGAAAATTACTAAGGTTTCCTATACACTGTTTTCATGAAATGTTCATATCTTTACATTACTACAGGAGCTGTCTTTATGTGTGTACCTTGTTGTCTTTGCTGGTTCAGGTGGTGGAAAGCCAAAGGCAGTTACATGGAAAACCTGGTCTTCATACCATCCTGAAAAACAACATGGGGGGTTATTTTTCATGAATAGATAAAGGCACAAACTTCAAAACATGAACTGTGTTAACAAAGGAAATGTTGAGCAAAACATGACTTAAAAACAACCTTCTCAGTACTCACCTTCAGCAAGAACAAAGCAGTTCTCTGTGAACAATCCATTATGAAAGTTGTACACAGTGGTTAAGGATATGGCTCACATATAGTATTCTACTCATTGCATCACTGAATTGACTGACTATTGGTATTGACTTCTAAGCACTTGGAGATACATGCATGTTTGGTTTACAAATCAACCCTGGAATTTCATCCTCCCAATGCATTGGCCATATACATTTGCAGGGGTTTTTCTGAACAGGGGAACAAGGGCGCAGCGCCCTCGTGTAACAAACCAGCGCCCTCTGGCTCATATCAATTTTCAGATTGAAGCCTAAGTCTTTTTCAAAATCATCTTTTTCCAGTAAAAATACAAGAACAACACCACATAACAATACATTACAAACTATGTTACTCTCATAAAAATTCCAAAATCTTACCACAAACTACCTCAAATTTCCCCCCTCAAGTAGCCTCAAAATGTCCCATTTCAACTTCAAATTTTTAAAGGCTTCACATGGCGGAAGGGGGGATACCCCCTCCGCACCAACCCCCCC